CTACAGAAGGGTTCAGTGAATGTGCATATGAAACTGGTGGGGTCGGTGGTTAAGAACCACTGTTCTAGTACTCGTTTGTTCCAGTCAGATTATTCTTTAACATGATTCTAATGCCAAATTTTGTTAAACCTAATAATTTGAAGTCATATTTCATTTTCAAACTCTTGAGGCTGGTTGGTTCTCTCCACCATGTTCATGGATGCTGTAATGAAAGTTATAATATCAGACGATATCAAACGCAGCATGAATGCAGTCCCCTTTTTAAAAGTGTTAAAATGTGTTTTGGGAAAACATACAATGTTCCGTAAAAGTAGACGCTGTGAAAAAAAAAAGTTATCACAAAATAGATGATGCCGTGACAGAAGACCTTTTGTGATGGCTGAAGATCAGGGTGCTATCTGATGAGGAAATGAATAACTGAAACGTTCTTCCTCTTTGTTCATGTTTTCCTGCTTTAGCGTGACTCATGGGACCAGTCGGGACCTGAGCCAGTGTCCCAGGTGGAGGGCCTCTGTCCGGACAGCCTGGGTTCTGTCAGCGTCCCACCCTCCATAGCCAGCCCGGAGCCCTCTGGGAGCCCATCCCAGTACCGCTCCCCCAGCCGTGGCTCCTCCATGGGGCCTGTCTCCGGCAGCCAGCCGTACACCCTGCATTCACTGGAGGACGTCCACTACCACCCTTTGACTTCTGGCGGCACCTACTCTGTGCCCTCCTCCTTTCCCTGCCCCCCATACATGAGCAGCCCAGTCAGCGACCTGGTGTCCAAGATGGTGTCAGAGGACATGGCGGAGGGTCACAGTGGCCTCCCAGCTGGCACCGAGGCCCACTCTTCATGGGCTAAGGAGGACGGGGTGAGCCCCTGGTCCCCCTATGAACTCCGGAGGGCCTACTGACCTGAGCGTCCAACCAAGACTGAGAGGTCAGCATGTCCAAATGAATGAAATTTGACAGACTTTTCCCATGAAAAGCACTGAGCTTGACATAAAATGTCAGAGATGTGTGTGTTGTTTTTTGGACATTCATCATCATTGTTTTATTCAACAGCTAATATTTGTACTTTAATAACAACAGAGTAGTAATTGGTTGACTAAGTTGGCCAAAACGATGTGGTAGGAGGATCACATTTACTTACTGCAAAGAAGAAAATAAAAGGGTTTTTATTATTATTATTATTATTATCTTTTTTTGTCTATTTTTTAAGCTTGTATTATATGTAAAAAAGATTGGAGAAAATGGCCACTGAACCTGAAACTGATACAAATAAAGTGCATTTACAGATGAAGTATGTTCCATCTACAAACTACTCCACTGTCCTCCTACAGAGACGTGACAAAGTCTCTGCTTTGCTTCTTGTTTTTAAGTCTCTTTCTGACCTGATAAAGCAGACAGGAAGACACACTGTCCAACTTGTTACCATTTTTATTTTACTTCATGGAATTTTATGTGCTAGGCTTACACAAAGTAGTGCATAAGTTGAGTTTAAAATTAAATTTATTTGCATAGCACATTTCAGCAGCAAGGGTTCCAGTCATTATGACTCAGTGTTTTACACCATAAAACAAAATACAATAACCAAATATGAAACAATGAATATTATATCATCAAATATACATCATGTAGACTGATCAATATTATATTCAATATTGCCTTTGAGTCATTATGACTCAAAGGCACCTCTAGCCAGATGGGTTTTAACTTTGATGTAAAGGAGTTTCTGCAGATTTTCAGTTTTCTGAAGTTTTTTTTTTGCAGTTTTCTTAAGTTTGTTTAAGATTAGTGGAGCATAGAAGCTGAATGCTGCTTCTCCATCTTTGATTCTGACTCTGGGGATGCAGAGTAAAAGGGAACCAGAAGATCAGATGACAACCGGTCTTTAGTGTTAAATTCATATTTGTAAAACTCTGAAAAGTGTCTGCTGGTTTGTGAGTTCAGCTGGCCTGAGTCATTGCCTCGGTGTTGGAAAACTGTTTTCACTGCAGTTTTCCAGCTTTGTACTAGAGATCGATTTGTTTCGTTCCTGTTTTTTTCCACAGTAACTCAAGTTCAGGTAGATTGGGAGCTTCCATCTACTCAAACGTCTTTTTACAGATTAGACTGAATGATTGATACATGAATGTGCTTTGTAGTTCTGCTGCACATTGTGTAGCCTACAAAAATACCAACAGGACTTTATACTTTCTGTCTTTTCTTACCTCTGTTCCTTGTGGAGGGTAACACTAACAAATCCAGTTTAGGTAGACGACAAAACTTTAGTAGGTTTGCGCCTGTGCCATCTTCTATGTTCAGATGATGGAACAGACAGATTAGTGATTCTTGAGAATAGGGACAAAATGGGTTTTAATTTTCCCCCAAAATGTTTTTATTATTTCTCAACCTTATGTATGCAAATATGACAAATAATGTTTTGGAAATGTAAAGAGGCTAAGGTGCAGACTCCCAGTTGCAACAATTTTTAAAAATTACATTTTCAATCAACCTGACCCAGAACTTTGTCATCACCATCTGACAAAAATAAATATAAAATTATTTTTAAAATACCCTATTAGTGATATTTTTACTCATTTTTACAGACGCATGCTTCTCAAGAAACAAAAGAAATATTATTTAAAACAAAAAAACAACAAAAAGTCCATCTGATGGAGTTGACACAGCTGCAGGTGGTGACAAACTAGT